ATGATATATGAAGTTTAGTTCCTTTTAAAGATACTAATGAAAACAAAAAAATTAAAAAATCATATTGCTATAAGTAAAATAAACAATTCAACACAAATTATTGAGTCATGATGATAACTTATAGAATCTTTTTTATTTTAATCTGGGTGGCACTTAACAGTTCTTAATATATTGAAAACAGATTTCATGTTTTCTATAGGACATAATAAGAAAGAAATGTTAAAGATGTTTTTGTTTTTTTTAAATAACATAGAACATGAGTTCTGAAAAGTTAAATTTTTTTTCATGACTTACTGCTGAACAGATTTTCCCTCAAACATAAATTCTTAATTTTATATGGGTTTCACTTACCAGGAGTTAATGAAGTATGACTTTACATTGATAGCCACACTATGTAGCAGAACAACTAATGAGGATGATTGGTATGTCAGCTTATACTAATTGGATCAGAATCCAGTTCTCTTGACAGAAACAATCTTTTTCAGGCTGAACTAATGCAACCAATCATTCATTTGGAAATCTGGTATAACTGACAACATTCCAAAAGTTTTTCTCTCATTGGAGATTTATATTAATAAGAAGTACTGTTGCTGTAAATTTGAATATTTTTTCAAATATATTAATGTTTTCTGTTGTACTCATTTGAAAACTTTTTAGTATTTCGTATAAACTATTTTAAAAATGCAAAGTAGAAAACTTGTATTTTTAAGGAAATAAATCTAAGAAATCCTTTTTTTTCTCTCAATTTAATAGTAAAGAAAAACAGTTATTAATTAGTGCAGTAATATAATTAACACAAAAAACAAAACAAAAAAAACAATGCAATTTTCTTATTCAATATTAATAAATATTTGCAAATACATATATAAAAGTATAAACATAGGTGTGTAGAAAATTTCCCAGCATGCTCTTTTTTGAAAACTAGAGACTGAATACACAACAGAAAACTGGTTTGGAGTGTTCTGTATTCAGTGTTTATTTATTTATTATGTGTTGAGAAAAGAAAAAATAGTAGAAGACAAACATACATGTGTCGTGTCCACTAAAATATCAACTACAATATTTATAAACCAATCACACTCAATCAACACTTACATCTTAAAACACACCAATAAAATCATAGATTACAAATCAGAATGTTTGTTGTATTAGTCATCATCATTTTTTAGGTAGATACCGACCAAATATCATACAGACGTAGTAGAAGACATACCACGTGACTTCTTAGGGCCAATTAGGAATAAATAAATAATTTAATTCTGGAGCCGATATTGTTTGGAAAAAGTGTATAAAAGCATATGAAATCCGTTCCCAAAACAATATACACGCAGCTGCCACCAATCTACACACACCTCTCGCTGATGACCTCATGTTAAAAATGACAGCGTTGACAAACTCCAGACCACGGCAACACCGCCAACAGTAAGAAACAATTCGTATCTCTCGTATCCGTTTTTTACTATGAATCACACACACACATGTTGACTTTTTCATACAAACACACATATCACAATATTTTATTGTTTCTCACACACGTACACAAAGACAGTTTATATTTTATTTCAGAACTTTATCAACCCAAACAAAAGACATTACTTTCCAATCTATTATCAACTGTTTGTATTCCTATCGTTATATTAAATTAATGTTTATTTGTTGAAACTACGTTGTCTTTTCTACTGAATTTCATTCCTTCAATGAAAAGCGTTTGATTATTCTAGACGGCCAAATTACGAGCGACACTGTAATGATATTTTGTTAATGTATTGAATCCCGACACTCCAAATTTTAACATTCAACGAAAAACCGAGTAGAAGGATTCCTACACATTCATGACAATGCATATATGCTGTTTTATTTCATGTTGGGAAAGACAGCATCAACATTAAAGATGTTGATTAATTAAGCCTTTTCAAATGATTTGGTTGGAAGCAGTATGTCTTATGAATGTTTTGTAACCTTCAAGAAAGGTGAATTTGACCTGGGGATCAAGCATGAAGTGATAACTTACTCTTTTGAATGATATCTACACAATTAATATTGGAATTGGTTGAAAAAAATTATTGGACAATATCTCACCACCTGCATTTCACTTTTTGCCAGACATAAAAAAAAAATCCAGTTCACCTTTCAGCATCAGCAGCAAAACTTAACCTTTTTACAAAAAAAATTATTGATCTGTATTTAGTAGGATATGAAGCGAGTATTTTATTAAGAATTGCTGAAGCCTTGTGGAACGATTACTGCAAACTGTTACGGTTGTCACATTCAAAGTGTAAGGATAGCAACTGAAAGTAGGGGGGAAGATTTTTTATAGAACAGGGAAACTTTCTTTATTTCATCTTCAATTGTTACATGTAATAATTACTTTATGCAAATGACAACATATGGGAAAATTTAGTAGACATTTTCATCTCCTTACTTTTACAGTAAGATCTTCCTTTCTGACTGCAATCTCTGAATGAAACAATTCAACAGAATATATTTGCCAAATTTTGTATGAATAAAAGATAAATTAAATAAAATCATAATAATCTCACATTACTACTTGAAGCTTAAAGACAACATTCTATCTGTCCATTTTAAAAAAAAAAAAAAAAAAGAATAGTAAGTTGTTAAAAATAATTGGAAAGCCTGTTTTATTTGTAGTTTTTGAAGGAGGAATTTTTGTCTTGGTTTGAAATACTAATTTTCTTAGTCTTGGGATAAATTAGGAGTAACAAGCATCCAAAAATTGGTATTTAAGTCAAATCACAGATTTTTACTCTCATCACATCCAAATTTTCTGATGAAATTTCTCATCATAAAGAAATCTTATAAAGAAAATAATAATTTTTCAAAGAAAATTCAATGAACCACTGAAAACTGTGATTGATTATAAATGATTCTTATATTTTTAGACAGCATACAAGCAGCACACCTTAACTTTGCCTTATTTCTGGCCATAAAAGTTAAGGGAGAAAAAACACTTTTTAGATGTGAATCATTTTCAGTACAAGTAGTTTATATGGATGCTGATGATCAGAAAGTGCCTATGCCCCACAACTGCTCATTCATTGTTGTCATGCCGACTGGCTTGGGTTATTTTCCACTCAGTGAAGACAACCCAACCAACTAAGCCTCATTATTGATTGTCTGTCTGTGTGTGTGTGTGTGTCTCTCTCTCACAGACACACACACACACACAGCATCTATAAGTTAAAGAGGCTTGACCCTTCAGCATGTCTCATTAAGACTTTATAATAATGGCACATTTATCTAAAAAATATTTTAATACATTAAATAATAATTATATATATAATTGTAATGACTTAATTTTGATTTTGAGATTTATATAAATTCAATTACATATTCAAATAACATGTTAAGATTGAACAATGTATCCCCCCTCTCTTGCTCTCTCTTTATATATATGTGTATATATATGATCTCTTTGGGATTTTAACTTTCATTAAATAATTACTTTTTTTTTCTTTTTTATTTCAATTTTTTAAAAAATGAACATATTTCTTTCATGATAATTTTGAAGTCATATTTTAGAAAAAATATACTTCTTAGTATTATTTTTAAATAAAATACCAACATTTATTTTCATTTAAGCTTTGGCAAGATATGTATATTTCTTAATTTTTTCTAGTTTGTGTTCAATTTAACTGTCTTTTAATATGAATATATTTTGACACAGCCTATCTATTTTGAGACATGTTTTGTAATAACTACTTTATATATATATATATATATATATATATATATATATATATATATATATATAATTTATTGTAATTATTGAGTAATGGAGCTCAACTGTAGAAATTGCAAAAAATAACTGAACAGAGGTAACAGAACAAAAAAAAATGAAAACACTGGTAAGAAAAAAACTTGCTTTAAGAATATCACAAAAAGATTTTTTTTTAATTAAACAGGTAAGAAGTAAGAAAATAGATTAAGCAGCAAGAAAATATTAAAGTAGCTGATGTTGTAAATGTAAGCAGATAATTTGGTTAAAGACATAAAAGCAGCCAAACTACCACCTTTAATTAAATATTACAAAGAGAAGTGTGTAAGTTGCACAAAGAAATGCATGAAAACTGATTTCACAACAGTAATTTTTAATGATAAATATAAAGATGTCCTGACTGGGTTCAAGATTGCATCCTATATGGGACTGATCAAAACAACAGCATGAAGATGGAATAATATTTTGGGTTGTTATTGTAAGCTATAAAATGATGTCCCTTCAAAGCTGATGCTGGTATGAAAATAAAGGCGGAGAAGTATTTTAAGTCTTTGTACATTTTTGAGTGGTACAGGTCACAACCAAGTAACTTTACTTAAGATTATATTCATGCAAAGCAATCTTCCTACACATTCTCCAAAGTGAACTGTTTCCCACCTTTTAAAAAAAAAAAAAGGTTTCAAGGATACCAAATTTATGGAATGGCCACCAACCTCTCCGAATATTAATCCAAAGAAAATTTGTGGTCACCATTAAAAGCAATGTTTATGAGAATGGGGCAAAAAGAATATTCAAGCCAAAAAGATTTGTTTTAAACAAGATTATAACTGAAATAGTAGGTTATAGAATATTAGAACATTTTTCTCTTTATTAAAGATTATTTTCAAAATCACCAGTATCCATAAGTTTATTTATACTATTCTATCAAATTTCCACTAGTTTGTACCTTTAAATTTAAATAGACGGCCTGGTGTGATCTATTTGGGATAAAAATCCATTAAGAACATCTGTATTTCAATGACCACTTTTATTAAATATTCAGGAAGTTTCTGCTCATTCCTTAATTTAAACTATGAACATTTTCAGACAAAGTGTTTTATTACCAAAAATTATAAAAAAATTTCCAACAACACCTTTTATTTCAATCACTCTGTCTATTTGTAACTTAAGTTATTCAGATTGTTTCTATTAATTTCTACCCTAAACTTCCTCAAGTACAAAACTAGTTTATGTTAATAAAAATAATTTATAAATTCTTTTTCAGTGCCTTACGATACAAGATGGAAGCATTGCTCAAATTCAAGACCTTGGAACACAGTTCTTCTTACGAGAGGAAGATGTAGAAACAAAAAGAAACAGGTAATAATTTCTTGGACATTTCTGTAATAGACAGTGTTAAAAATGTTAACATTGGAATTGATCTTAAGAATGTTTGAAAATTGATAAACTAAAACATAAAAGCACTGTAAATATGCAAATAATTGTCTAAATAAATCATGCAATTGTTATCAGAGTTGAGTATAAAGCTGATGAATAGATGGGAATAGCTGTATTAAGATAGACAAAGAAAATGTAATAGCAAAATATATCTGATAATTTATATGTGTGTGTGTGTACATTAATAGAATGTATAAAAATATCCAAAACAAAAGTGGTGATAATGGGACAAAGTGGAAAAGCTTTTTGATGCTATGTTTTGCCAATGTATGTTGAACAAACAGAGCATTTAGAGTTTTGTTATGTAGTATATCTCTGTAATGCTCATATATTTTTTGTGTGTGTGTGTGTGCGTATATATATATATATGATAAAAATATAGTTTTAAGCTATGCTATATTTAGAGGTTAAAGTGCTCAATATCAGGGATATAGTGTATGTAAATTGTAACCAAAACTCAGCAGCGATAACAGTCTGTTTCATGTTTAAACACATTCGTCAGGCCTGATGATTGCTCTTAAGCATGAAACAGATTCTCACTGCTAGGTGTTGGCTTCAATGCCCACTTATATACACACACACACACACACAAATGGTTGCTAAAAAGTTCTTGGTCTGGCCAACAGGCTATTCACAAAAGAAAACTGATGTCTATAGGTTAGGCTGAGAAGTTTTTAGTATTCCTCAGGTGTGTATGTGTATGCCTGTGTATACCCAGCCACATATAAAATACATTGAAAATCTTGTTTTCTTTTGGTTCTTTTAAACAAATTTTCATTCATCATTTCAGTTGAAATTGCTTTTTTTTATGAGCATAAGAATTTCTTAATTAAAATAAAAATTTATATACAGTCGAAAAATTGAAAATAATCTATTTATATTTTTAGTATTTTTGTTAGATTAATGAAATTGATTGATCAAGTACTTGGATTAAAAATCACTTATGAAATGCTTTCTGTGTTTTTTGTCAACTATATAAAAGCTTGGTGATTTGCAAATATAACATGCTGATCATATGTCATAGGTATGATGATTTACTCTTGCTGATTCCAGTTTTAATGTTGTTTCAACAACACTTTTTTTTTTTACACTGAGGGCCACCCATTACAAGGCTCAGGGCCACTCAAGGTAGAAGGTTACATTAGGACGCCATTTGTGTGTATAAATGTCAGATCAGCGGTAATGGAATATAACTAGATTGGTCTTCGAGGCATTGAATGTAACTAGCCAGTTTTTACCCCCATTGGGTAGTTTGTACAAGATCAGAAGAGAGATCAGTTGCCAATCTTTGACTATCAAGACCTTCAGAGGTGCACCAATGTATAGTCATATCATTGGCATAGATGCTTGAGTATATTCTTAGGCAAATTATTTATATTGATCAAAAAGAGGATTGGTCCAAAGAGTGGCCCCTGTGTGATTCCTGTGTTGACCATTAGAGCAATGGAAGGACTGGCCATTCCTTCAGGAACCTACCTGTTAGGAAGAATATTATGATTGAGAAGACCCTTCCAGTCATTCCATAACTGGAGTGCTTGTGTAGTAAACCTTTATGCCACATCTTGTCAAAGGCCTATGAGATAGCTGGTGCTATGGTCCTCGGGGTGTGTTTGTCATCAAGAGCCTGACTGATTTTGTGAGTGATGGTCGTTAAGACATCAGAAGTGGATCGGGCCAACCAAAACCCATACTGTTCGTTGCTGAAAAGATTCTTCTTTTCTAGGTGTTTGACGAGCTTCTTATTGATTATGCCCTCAAAAATCTTTCTGATGAAACTGGGTAGACTGATGGGTCTATAATGGGAGGGGGAAATTGCGTGCCCGCATTCTTGAAAACCAGGTGTATGCTTGGCACTTTCCACAGGTTTGGGAAGGATTTGTTGAATAACTTTGCTAGGATTGGGGATAATTCCAAGTTGATATTCTTAAGAACAATCACTGGAATTTTGTCTGGGTCAGTGGATTTCTTGGGGTTGAGGCCTTTGATAAGTCTAGAAACTTCTCGTACTGTGATGGGAATATTACTGAGATTCTGCTCAGTGAAGGCTGAACTACGCCACTCCTTGTGATAGATACTGAAGTAGTGGTTTCAGTGGGCTATGGACACTGTAAGGGAATGGTCTGATGTGCCTTGTGGCAGTAGAACTTTTGCTAAGCATTTATCAGGACAGGAGTTTAGGAAGAGGTTGAGGACATTCACCTGATGATCTGTCATGTCCGGGACCTGGGTAGACTCTCCAATGATCTGGGTTTATAAAAACATTACTATTTTCTCATATTGTTTCTTTATGCTGTATGTGATATAATGGCATAATCAATGTGTCCCCTTTTTCAAATAATAATAATATAGTTCACTCACCATTTTCAGTTGAAATTGACAAAATGCTAATCTGAAATTTTAAAAACTCATTTTCATTAACATTTGAATTGAAAAGTAGGCATAGATAAATTTACTGAACCTGTTCAGTTACTAACATTTCCAATTCTGCTTCATAAATCTTGCATTGTCAGTAAAATAATTACTTTAATTCTTGGGACTTTATTTTTGTAGCAAATGTCATTTCATTTACTTCATATTCAAACATTGATACTTCATTTTTATCAGCATCAAAGAACAAGCAAACATCAAAGATTTTGCTTTGATTTTTATTTTTAATGCAGAAACATTTACATGCAAAACTTCAAAAACAATAATCTGGTAAGGGCAACTTAGAATGTGTGAGATTCACTTCATGTAGATGCAGACAAATTAGCTATTTTGAAGAAAAGATTAAAGAGAGAAAAAAAATGATTTTGAATTTAGATGAAATAGAAAACAAATCTTGAATGCTTTAATTATCATTGTGCTTTTGAAAATGTGCAATAAAATTTTATTTTGCATTCCTGGCCTACACTACTTGCTTAATCACTGATAAGCTACCATCACATTTTTTTAAGTATTGGCACCTGTAAATATATTTTCATACTAAAGTATGCAAGTGGAAGGTGATCAGCGATTTATACTGTCCTGCTGTCAAGTTTATTCTCAAAATATCTTCTGGGAAGGTTGTGAGATTGAATAGTGTGTGCGTGTATTTCCTCATTGCACAATTCTGAGTTTCATGCACAATACAATATTCAGGTGCTGAGCTAAGACTGAGCATTACATAATTCAAATTTGTGTGTGTGTGTATATATATATATATATATATATATATATATATATATATATATATATATATAATATTTGATGGAACTTTATAATTTTGTTCTGTTTGCTTATAAAGACAGCATTTACATTTTTAATATATTTCAACATTATTAACCTGAACAAAATGTTTGTATGTTTTCTTATACATAGGAAAAACAGTATTCATCAAGTCTGTGTCAATAATACAATGGCTATTTTCTTCACATGTCCCAAGCTGAATGAAATTTCTTTCAATTTGCAATAAAGAAATTAATGGTTAAGTTGTGTAATCTTTTAGCTATCGACAATACACTCTACAATGCATTCAGTTATTAACTTAATATTTCTCTTTTATGTGTTTTTTTTATTGAACACTTTATGAAACATTTCTTTTGAAAAAATTTACATTTGAATCTCCTGTTCTGTCAGTATGAATAATTCCTTTTCAGTGTTGTTGACTTCTTATATGATGAGTTTATCTTTCTTTCATCTTTTTATTTATTTTTTCCTAGTAAATACAAAAGTGAAATCTTTAATTTTTTATTCATCTTCCCTCTTCTACTAACATTACTTAACTTTTTTTACTTATGAAATTTTTTATTGTATTTTACTTTTTTAATTTATTTCATTATTAATTTACTATTTTCAATATTTTTTCATGTTTTCATTCTTATTAATACTTCCACAAAATGCCTCTGTACCTTTTGTCAAATAAATCCTTACCAAAATCACTGAAGTCTATTCAGTTCTTAAATAGTCAGATAGTTCAGAAATTCAGACATTAAAAGAAAAACATTTGTCTGTCCTTAAAGGAAAGCTGCCTTGCTTGCTATTAAAGAGTACTCATTCCCTTTTAATAATTAATCTATAAATTTTTAGTTCTTTTTTAACATCACTTTTTATTTGTTTATTTGTGTGTCTGGGGTGGATAAGAGATTCCTTTTCTTATTCCATGTTCATTAATGCTGACAAAAATGACATTGTAGCACTGAGTTGTCTGACACTTTTAATCTAAGACTACATAAAAGAAAGGAAAAGGAGAGGAGGGAGAACATGTTTTTCTGTGTTCAATTACACATGCATCTTTTAATTTAGAACAAAGTGATGCAACCATGTGCTATATTTGTTACAAAAAATGTTTAGTTTGAATGCATAAAACTATTCAGAAAAAGAGAAGCAGACATTTTGATTATCATGCCTTCCTTATTCTTTGAATGTCTCAACTTTAAGAAAAAATAAAAACATGTTTATAGAAAACAACAAATATTTGGCTCGATTAAGTATTTTCCATATTCAGACATGAGGCTTCCTTCTGTTTAGCCATTTAGTGATAGGGCAATGGACTGCAAGCTGTGAGAGCCTTTAATTCATACCATCAACAAATTTAAAAAAAAAAGAACTGTAGTATCAATGATCAGGAAATTGAAAGTAATCAAAAAACATACTCTCTAATCATCCACTACAATAAACAATATAATTTGCTTGAAATTAGCCATGTATAAATATATACAAACTTTATCCAGTTCTAATTAACAGGACTTGACTACACATTCAGGTTTAATACTAAAATTAGAATCTTACAAAGATTTATTTCAAAAGTTATATTTACTTAAATATAATAAGGAACCATCTGTTCTGATTATTACTAAGAAATTTGCATTTTCTAAACATTTTAACTTTTTCCTTATTTTTTTTAAGACACTCAAAACTCAAGGTCAATTTTTGTAAAATTGTTCAGTCTTTTTTCTTTGTAT